CATGCACCATCATCATCATGCACCATCATCATCATGCACCATCATCATCGTGCACCATCATCATCGTGCACCATCATCACCATGCACCATCATCATCATGCACCATCATCATATTGCACCATCATCATCATGCACCATCATCACCATGCACCATCATCACCATGCACCATCATCATCATGCACCATCATCATTATGCATCATCATCATCGTGCACCATCATCATCACCATCATCATCATGCACCATCATCATCATGCACCATCATCATCATGCACCATCATCATCGTGCACCATCATCATCGTGCACCATCATCATCGTGCACCATCATCATCACCATAATCATCATCATCAAAACTGTTAACTGTCATGGTAAGATTTTAGTCGATGCTGTGGTTGGTTGGTTATCCGTCCAACCAAAGCTCCATTTTTCACTGGGCATTTAGACGTTTATACTGCCTCATAATAATAACACTTTCATTATTAAAGTGTCATGATATTAAGCTATGYAGCTAATTGGTCACGGTGACATAACAAAAAAATATACTAAGAAAAAATATGCATTGCTCGAAACCATATTGGGCTAGMTGATTGATTGAGTAATTGATTTAGCTTTAATCTTTTTTTCAKAATTATCGAGATCAGTTGTTTAACTGAATTAAGGAGGTTTGGTATTGGTTTGCTAACCGTGAGCCATGGAAGATCCGACCTTGTTTCTTCTTCTGTTCCTCACCTTGAACTACCATGCTGTAAAAGCAACACAATGCACCACAAGGCAGTCCGAAAGCAATGTCTTCTTGTACGGATCGCTGATCGAATCGTTCAAGGTGGACACTCTTTCAACGTGTACCTCAAGATGCAAGCAGAATAAGGTTTGCTCAAGCATCAATATGAACCTGATGAACATGAAGTGTGATCTAAACTACTCTACGAAGAAAAGATTACCAAAGAACATGGCCAGTCAACCAAGTATGGTCTACATAGAGATACGGGATGATAACGCTGCGTCAGGTACTAGGCAAGATATACCAATCACATCTTGTAAGAAGCTCAAGGAGGATGACAGCCAGGCAAAGTCAGGTGTTTACTGGATGAGGTTTAATGAGACATCCTCTGCGCCATTCCAAGTGTTCTGTGACATGGCCACAGATGGAGGAGGCTGGACTCTTGTCTACAGCTATCGAATTCTCCAATTAACCAACTTTAATGCCTACAGTAACGCAGTCACTCCAATACCAAACTGGCCAACTGCATGGACCCCTTCTGGACACACACCACAGTCAACGACAACCCCGCTCAGTGAGTCTTCTTACTCGGCTATGGATTTTACTCTGTGGAAAAAGATTGGAAACGAAATCCTTCTCAAGCCTAATATCACTAACTGGGTAGCCTGTGTAGAAGGAACCGGAAGTCTTGTGAACTGGRWGGMAGGAAGTSTGRCSTGTAGAATTGTCAAGGCCATTACACCAACCTGTACCACTGTCGTTCCCGATAATTTAGTGCTGTTTAATACGATTGGAGCTGCTACTTTGAAGCTTGGTGTAAAATACTATATCCATCTAGTGAGCAGTACGACTACTAACTGGCCCTGTCACGATCCTTGTGGTACGACAGCCATTTCGAATCACTTAACAAACGTAAATACTCCTGGTGGGGTGTTATACATTCGTTAAAGCAACTTGATAATCAACTGAGGAACCTCTTCTTCCAAGATTTCTACCGTCTCCGCCATTATCAGGGTTAGATTAAATATTGAACACAGACGAAGAAAGTTTCTTTAGTTAATTCAATCGTTCCGTCATCACCATTTGCTGACCGACTGCTTAATAAACTGATCCCGGCTRTGCTTTGAGTGCCCACCCAATGGCATAAAGAATGTCCGACCAACAAACTCGAATTCAGTCATACGGATTTTTAGTTGAGTTATCGATTTTTTTTTTCAAATGTAACTTTATAATGCAACTTTACAACTCCACGAAGCACAGCAAGCAAGTTTTTTATTTCTTTCATAAAATAAAAATTGAAATGACCGTTATTGGGAATGACGCAACTGAAAGTGCGCGCGCGTGCTGTCTGCTCTTGGAGCACGCGCTCCCAACCAATCAGAACGCGATATTTATAGCAGTTATTTTATAATGAAGAATAATGAATGCTGGATCATTGTATAACTAGACACAACCACTTTATACAGTCAATTCAAAAAACGTTGTCGTCGACCGGCTCAAGCCTACGCGACTGGACCGAAAGGAATATGGGTAAAAAATCACTGAAGCGGTAAGATATTCGTTCTGAATTAATTGTTCCCGCTAGAAATAAGATAATAATGGCTAGAAACAATCCATCAAATGCATGTCTTCGGGTTTAGGGAAAGAAAAACAAAATAGTTATGATTCAGTTCACAATTTCGAAAATATGAAGGCATTAAAAAAACGTCTCCTTCAACACTTCCCGCTCGCCTACGAAGGTTCGTGCTGTAAACCAGGCATAACTAGTCAGATAAAATTATGGAGTCAACTCCGTCGGCTTCAATGATTGCTACCCAGAGTTACTTTAGGTCCAGTCGCGTAGGCTTGAGTTGGTCGACGACAACATTTTTTGACTTGACTGTATAATGCCCATCACAGCTTAGTACCACGCCACCCACGAAAAACATGTCTTAGTGACAGTATCTTAACGCAAACCCTCTCGTAGAGTCCAACATTTGTTAACAACTATTTGTCAGCTATCCTTGAAATTCGCCAACAATTTTCTACTATTCTTATTCATCATTCAATCAATTTTCTAGAAGTTAGAATAATTATTGTTTTAGCCCTTTTTTCACCTTCCAACGCTCGAGGGAAAATGAAGTTATAAAGTCAATTTTCTGAAACTTGATATACCGATACTTGGTCATATTCAAGTTAGAAATAAAAAATGGGAGTCGCCGACTTTGCTTTCCAGACAAACGCTGAGTAATGTTGAAATTTTCATAGAAAAATACGCTCGTTTTTTCATGGCTAATTCGTGTGAAATAAATCGAGTAAAAAAACTAGAAAACGTCGCTTAAAAGTTATAAAACTCTGTTTACCGTCTTTATKTCCAGAGACCGTAGCCTCTTTCGCAGACGTTCTTCTACAGAGACCGTTGCTTCGTAATTAAATTAAAAAGCACCCAAGACGTTCATAGGAAAAAAAAGTATACTACAGATTAAAAGAGAATTCTTTTCGYACGTATTCAAGCAGTGAGCGCCAAAAACTATTTTCTCGAAGATAGAATGTTGTACAAGGCTAAAATCTTGTTATTCAGAAAGTGTAACTTGTTTGGAAGTGGAGATGACCGATGAAAGTGGAATCAAAGTGTTAACCCAAAGCAAAAATTTTATTCGAAAATGAGGTTTAGGCCTTAATTTCCTAATTTCAAATATATTTTCTATAAAAAAGGCTGACAAAGCAAGATTCTAATACAAATGCAACRAAACATCTTTGTACAATTGAAAATACCGCTTCAAACAGGCATTTTATCATAGTACATCAGTTTCTAACTGCTTTAGAAAAGGTTTTGAGTGTCAACCCAAAGCGAAAATTGGGATCAAAACTCATACGAARGTCTAGGTTTTGGCGCTTTTCTCCATTACTGCATATTATTCACAAAAATTTCCTCTTAAACAAATAAATGCCCGTCAGTAGACCTGGACGCTACTGCAGTACATCATCAGTATAGTGTTTGTCTTCGATGCATTTTAACAAAATTTACTTTATGCAAAAACAAAAATAAGTAGAACTGAAGGAAAACAAAAAAGATAGGGGRAAAAAAAGCTTAATATTAATAACAATTTGCTGTTTGTGTGAGGCTTGAAATATGTTATCGAAGAAAAATGTAAACAAGGACGTTTCTTCATGCACCTGTGATTATTTTCTGACTTTATCAAAATATTTTAGTAAAAAGAAAATCCGGCACTCAAGTTCAATAAATTAAACTGCTTTAGGACTCATAACTTTACACAGTGGATATTACTTTTTATAAATTGAGTATTCGTTATTTTAGTTAAAATTTTAATATTTTTCCTCTGATTTGAATTTTGAAATTAATTTTTTTCGAATTGAAAACTTTTCTACTCTTGACCACTGCGTTTTTTTTCTGTTTGTTTTATGTTATTATTTCGATAATTATTTGAATTCTTAATTTAATTTATC